GAGAAAGAGCTTGGCTCATGATTTCATTGAATGAATTGAAAATGTACAATTGGTCCTTTATATATGTGTGTATACATTAACCTGATCTTAATCAACTAATAGAATAAAAGCGGGAAAATACAAATCTAACAGAAATCTACAAATCTAACAGAAATCCAACTAAATTCTAACTACCATCAATTATTTCGTATCTGTCATGATTTGTAGCTGCATAATACATCTCAGCAACTGCACCCTTTCTATCCATGTCAGCAACTCCACTTCGTTTGTCAACTTTATCAGATACTATAGCCACGTCATCTCCTTCTTCTTCCTTCTTCTGTAACACACAATAATCATGAAACAAATTTTAGAATTTTTAAAAAATTGAAACCCGATCCAATCCAAACCGAAAAAAATTGTATTGGATCGGATCAGATTTAAAAGAAATTCAAACCGAATGGATGATTACATGATCAAACCGAAGAGATTGGATCAGATGATTTTTACTTCCAAAACCAATCCAATCCAGACCGCGAACACCCCTACTCTTAACTTTCTTTTGAGTTCAATCATCTTGTGTATTTAGTATTTAGTGTTGTGAATTGTAGTAAAGTTCACATTGGTTATAAATTGACTAAGTAAGGACCATATAACTAGAATGACTCGTGAATCTAACACATTAAGATTTTAGATTTTAATAGAAGTTATGAATCCATTTATTATGATAGATTGTCGCTTATCCTATTTGATAATAATTCTTCTCTACCATGGACTCCCCGATTATCCAACATTGGTATTTGAATATGGTGGTTAATGTTTGGGTTTGATAGTCCAGCCAAATCATGATGTGCAATCAAGGACTTGAAGAGTATAATCAAGCCTTAAAGTAAACTCATGTCATGCTAGCCAAGGACTTGATGAGTATATTGAAGCTTTGGTATAATCCAATAAATACTCGAAGAAGCTTTTCTTTGAGAGAAAGCAATTGTGGACTTAGGACTCCACATAAGGAAAACAAATATAGAGAATACAGTAAACTAGTGAATTAATGAACAGGGATTATTTCAATTTAACTAGTGGAATTTGGTAGGGAAGATTTTGTTGCCTTATGGTGATCTTCCCTAGATGATTTATAAATAAAAAAAATCTGAAGAACCTTTGTATTAGGTATTGACAAAAAGTGACTTGATTGCCATAATAGTACTATTTACCATCACTGAGTTTCAGGGATTCTAAGTCCTCCTTTAAACAAATAAAAGTAAATCTCCCATGATTAATCAAGCAGTTTTATTTTAGTGTTGTTGAGCTGTATAGTATCCGTGATTAATTTGATTTTGATTGTGTTAGCAATTATAGGAATTAATTGTAAATAGAATTGATTGACGAGAGACATCAATTCTCTGAGTAATTAATTTGATTCTGATTGTGTTAGCAATTATAGGAATTAATTGTAAATAGAATTGATTGATGGGAGACATCAATTCTATGATTTTAACTTTATTTTTTAGAGTGATTAGTGGCTTGATTGAAGCCCAAAATTTGTATATATAATTACCTATGTACAAAGGAAGAAATATACAGATTCCATTGTTTAACATGGTATCAGATTTTTTCCAGAGAAAAGACTTTGTACATCTATTTCTCACATAGTGATCATATCCCATATTCTGTAAAACCCCAAATTCCTAATTTTTCCTTGACAACATGGAAAACATTGAACCTGTAACCCCTACCCCTGCCCCTATCACAAATTTCTCACCCCAGAATATAATCATCCAACAAGACAATTCATCCCTCCTTGTGTTTGTTATTCTGGATGAATCGAATTATCCTTTATGGTCTCAACTTATGGATATGCGTATTGGCGCTCGTAACAAAGCTGGTTATCTCACTGGTGTTGCGAAGAAACCGAAAGCTGATGATCCTGCATATGATGTGTGGATTACTGAAAACAAACGGGTCAAGAGCTGGCTCATTGACTCTATGACCCCCATCCTTTTACATCGTTTCATCCGACTCGAAACAGCCAAAGAAATCTGGGATGCCTTATCCAAAACCTTTTATGATGGCTCCGACGAGACTCACCTATTTGAACTGAACCAAAGATTGTTTTCCACCAAGCAACAAGGACGTCCTCTGCCCGTTTATTTTAATAAACTTGTGTCTATTTTTCAGGAAATCGATCATCGTTCCTCTTCTCAGGTTGACACTGTTAATGATGTCCTTCAAATGCAGTCTGCCATGTCTCGCCTTCGCGTGCACATCTTTCTTAGTGGCCTTGACTCAGAATTTGATCAAGTACGTGGAGAGATCCTGCGTAAAGATCCCAAATTGAACCTTAAAAGTGCCTATGCATATGTTCGGCGGGAGTTTCAATAGAAACAAACCATGAGTACCACCTACTCTGTTCCTGAACATTCAGCCCTTCTCACTCAACCACCACGCCAAGGACCAACCTTTGCACCTGGCAAGCCTCGCAGGGACTCCTCTTCTGGAAAATCCAACACCTTCATTTGCTCTCACTGCGGTGAATCTGGCCATTCTAAGCAATGATGCTTTGAAGTGATTGGCTACCCTGAATGGTGGGACTTCACCAAACGTCCCCGAAAAAAGCTTCATGTTAAGTCTATGCTTGCTTCTCTTGTCGAAGACGCACCTTCTCCTATTGCTAATGTTTCCCAATCAGGTATTATTGGTAAAACTCTTGCCTTTTCTGCAAATTCCAGGAACAATACTTGGATAATCGATACCGGTGCCTCAGATCATATGATTTCAGATTCGAATAACTTGTATTCCTTATCCTCTTCTTCTCAATCTATCATACATACTGCTAATGGTAGCACATCTGTTATTACGGGGGAAGGGTCTATTATCTTATCTGACCATATTAAACTTGATTCAGTTCTGATTGTTCCATCTCTTGATTATAATTTGTTGTCTGTTGGTCAACTTACCACTGCACTTAACTGCACTGTCACTTTTTGGCCTACATTTTGTGTTTTTCAGGACATTCCCACTCGGATGGTTCTTGGTTATGGTGTTAAACGAGGCAAGCTTTATTACTTCGAGATCACCAATGGTGGAATGAATAAGTTGGGCAAGGCATGTTACACCAGCAGTGAAGATAAGGCTCGAGCAACCATATGGCTTTGGCATGGGCGTTTAGGACATCTTTCCTTTAGTTACCTTAAGAAATTGCAACCACATTTGTTTTCAACTTTGAATTCCTATGATTTCCATTGTAGTACTTGTGAATTGGCTAAAAGTCATTGTGTTCCTTATTTTCCAAGTAGTAATAAAAGTTATATTCCTTTTGAAGTTATTCATTCGGATGTATGGAGCCCTGCCAAGGTCCCTTCTTTCTCTAAGGCATGTTATGTTACTTTTATTGATGAATGCACCAGGATGACTTGGGTAAGCTTATTAAAGAAAAAAGGAGATGTTTTTATGGCCTTGAAACACTTCCTTAGCATGGTTAGCACCCAATATCAGTGCCAAATTCGTGTTTTACAATCTGATAATGGCATGGAATATCTTGATAGGAATTTTATTGATTTTCTTAGTCACAATGGCATAAGGCATCAAACTTCCTGCACTTACACTCCACAACAGAATGACTTAGCTGAGATGAAGAACCGACAAATTATGGAAGTAGTTCGGGCATCCCTATTTGGCATGAATATGCCTCGAACTTATTGGGGAGAGGCTGTGAAATCAGCTGCATACTTGATTAATCGTACTCCCTCTCGGGTCTTGGCTTTTCAAACTCCTCAACAGAAGTTGCAGTCTTTTTTTTCTATCCCTCATATTCCAAACTTGGAGCCTAGGGTCTTTGGTTGCACCGTGTATGTTCATATCCCCAAACCTCTACGCACCAAGTTAGATCCTTGTGCCAAGAAGTGTGTATTCGTGGGTTACTCAGATCTTCAAAAAGGATACCGGTGTTATGATCCCATCCTTCTCAAAATGCAAATTACTCTTGAAGCATCTTTTCAAGAATCTGAGCCTTATTACTCAGGGGGAGCCTCTGAGACTTCTCCTCAGGGGGAGAGCTATAGTGGACTAGAAGTCTTCTTTGATGGATGGAATTCAACAAAGAGCAACTCTTTCCCAATAACTGAAAATGCTTTAGCCCTTGATGAACTTCCACCTGCTATCACTACCCTTGATCATGCCCCTGCTGATATGGTGCATACTCCATCTACTGAACTTCCAATTTTAACACCCATAACAGAAGAATCATCTAGGGATGTCACTGATACCTCACCCGAGGAAAATACTGAGGTACCTTCTTTCTCAACTCCATTTAATTTACCTGAAATACATATTCCTACTGAAAATATCTTAGATCCTCCACATATTAATATTAGGTGTTCCTTGAGACCTAACAAAGGTGTGCCAAAAAATCAAAATGAACCAGACCCAAAAGCAAATGTTAAATATCCAATTAGTAGCTATGTATCCACTCATAGGCTATCTGAATCATATGCTTTGACGGTTAATCAATTGTCTAGTGTATCTGTTCCTAACAATTTGCAGGAGGCCTTACATGATCCAAGGTGGAAGAAAGCAATGAATGAGGAAATGGAAGCATTACGAAAGAACTCAACATGGGAGTTGGTTCCCTTGCCAAATGGAAAGAAAACCATAGGGTGCAAATGTGTGTTCACAGTTAAACTAAAAGCAGATGGAAGCATTGATAGGTACAAAGCTAGACTGGTGCAAAAGGATACACACAGAAGTACGGAGTAGATTGTCAAGACACTTTTGCCCCGGTTGCCAAACTTAATACTATTTGAATCCTTCTGTCTATTGCTGCAAACAGAGATTGGCCCCTAAAACAATTTGATGTTAAAAATGCCTTTCTAAATGGAGATCTTGAAGAGGAGGTCTATATAGAGATACCATCAGGTGTCAAGAGGATCTCTATGGGAAAGAATGAAGTTTGCAAATTGAAGAAAGCTTTATATGGGCTCAAACAATCACCTCGAGCCTGGTTTGGAAGATTTTCTTAAGCCATGAAGAACTTTGGGTATAACCAAAGTAATGCAGATCATACTCTCTTCATAAAGAACAAAGATGGAAAGGTAACAACATTGATTGTGTATGTTGATGATATGGTTTTGACTGGTGATGATCCATGCGAAATGAAGTTATTACAAAAGTATCTAGAACCTGGATTTGATATGAAAGATTTGGGACAACTCAAATACTTCTTAGGCATCGAGATTGCTCGATCTAAACAGGGAATCTTTCTCTCTCAAAGAAAATATATACTGGATCTTCTTGCTGATACAGGATTGCCTGCATGCAAACCAGTGGAAACACCTATAGAGATGAACCAAACACTTGGTATCTTCCCTAATCAAGTCCCAACCGATATTGGCAGGTATCAAAGGTTAGTTGGTAGACTAATTTATTCATCGCACACTAGGCTAGATATAGCTTATGCCGTAAGTGTTGTGAGTCGCTTCATGCATGCTCCTAGTGTGGACCATATGAATGTTGTATATCGAATTCTTAGGTACCTAAAGGGTGCCCCCGGCTGAGGTTTGTTGTTCTCAAAAAATAATACTTCTTGCATTGAGGGATATACAGATTTTGATTGGGCTGGAGATCAAACCACCAGGATATCTACTTATGGTTATTTCACATTTGTGGAAGGCAACTTGGTAACTTGAAAAAGTAAAAAACAAAAGGTTGTAGCAAGGTCAAGTGCAGAAGCTGAATTTCGAGGTATGGCTCATGGTGTGTGTGAATTATTATGGATCAAAAGTGTCCTAAAAGATTTAGGAGTTTGTTATGACCATCCTATGAACCTGCACTGCGATAACAAAGTTGCTATCAAAATTGCACACAACCCAGTTCAGCATGATCAGACTAAACATATGGAAGTAGACAAAAATTTCATCAAGGAGAAATTAGATCAAAAAATTATACACTTTCCTTTTGTAAAATCTGAAGATCAACTTGCAGATATATTGACTAAAGTTGTGTCAAGGAAGGTGTTTCAAGATGCTATTGGCAAGTTGGGCATGATATATATTTATGCTCCAACTTGAGGGGGAGTGTTGAGCTGTATAGTATTCGTGATTAATTTGATTTTGATTGTGTTAGCAATTATAGGAATTAATTGTAAATAGAATTGATTGACGGGAGACATCAATTCTTTGAGTAATTAATTTGATTTTGATTGTGTTAGCAATTATAGGACTTAATTGTAAATAGAATTGATTGATGGGAGACATCAATTCTATGATTTTAACTTTATTTTTTAGAGTGATTAGTGGCTTGATTGAAGCCCAAAATTTGTATATATAATTACCTCTGTACAAAGGAAGAAATATACATATTCCATTGTTTACAAGTGCATTGAAATCAGAGGTGTCAAAATATATTTCGATCATCAGAATAACCCAATGGGAAGTCCATTAACCGGACCTTTTGGTCACGCCCCTAACTTGCGGGTTAATCCGAGTTTACCTACTACTTATTAGGAAGTGAAATGATATATTATATCCCGAGAGCTGAAATGGAAATTTGGAATGGTTTTTTATTTAATATATTATTTAGGCTAAAATATAAGTTACCCCTTTGAACTTTAATCATGTTTCAAATTACCTCCTTATATTTTTAATTATTTCAATTAACCCCATGTACTTTATAATTGTTTCAAATCAACAATTCTTTGCAGTCTTCTCGATTTCTGGATCAAACTGTAAATATTCTTTGTTAGCTTTACCTCGCATAAAAGAGAGAAATCAATTAGTGACAAACAAATAAAATAAAATAAAAATTTCAATCTCAAAGATCGAAAGTTACGACTAATATTGGCGTAATTAATCCCCAGCAACGGCGCCAAAAACTTGTTGCGAAATCGGCAAGTATATCATTCGTTCCAAGAAATAAAGTGATAAGTAGAGTATCGTTCCCACGAGGATTAATGCACCAAGTACTAGTTTAACTATTCTCCTTAAGTTGGAAAATAAAAATTGGATTGGTTTGTGAAAGTAATTAATTTTGGAATTAAAAAAGAATTTAAAAATAATTAAATTTAAAACAGAAAATTAAAAGCAATTAAGGTTGCACGCATGAAAGAGGGATCAAGAACGCAAGAAGTATTGATGAAAAATTTATAAAAAGTATGTAGCCAAGATGCACTTCACCTCTGATCCTCTCTTATATTCTTGTAATGTATTTTATAATCAATTAATTCGTTTGTTCAGACAATTCATTATTTTCCTATAAAATAGTTGAACCCTGATGTCTTAGTGATTTCAACCCTTTAACCCAATCAGAATTCTAATGTCTTAATAATCCCTCTTGAATTAAGCATTAAGCAAATGAATTATGAGTCTGCAATTTATGTAAGCCTATGTCTAGATCATACACAAATTGTTATTCTAACCCTGTCCAGACTAAAACCCCAATATGTTTATTGTGAATTCTATCCCTTAAAGCCCTATAATTTAGAGTGATCAGTTCTAAACATGATATGAAAAATTAAACCAGGTAGATATAAAACAAACTAACTAATTAACTTATAAAATAAATACAGAAATTATAAAGGATTCACATTGGGTCCGTGATTCCAACTACAAAAACAAACTAGTCAGACATAGCTGGCTTAAACAAATTAAAATAAAAAGAATTTATAAAAGCAATAAAGAAGAAGGAGAAGAAGAAGAAGAAGAATCAATTATCTTCGGTCTTCAACTCCGTCGGAATCCTGATCTCCAGCGTGAGCCTCCAAGAATTCTCTCCAGCCAAAGATGATTTTCTCTGGGAGTCTAAGCCTCTATTTATAGAGATTTTTTCCTTGTGTAGAATCTTGATTAAATCTTCATCGTGAATCTTCGGTCAATCTCTTTTTGATACAAAACAGGATTTAAGGCTGATTTTCCGCACTTCTCACGCTACTAGCGTGGGAGTTTTAGTCACATTTCTAGAAGCCCACGCTGTGATCGTGGGTTGTGGCGCAACTAGCGTGAGTTTCACGCTGTGAGCGTGGATTTCTCTGGCTGATTTTTGCTTCTGGCGCTACTAGCGTGAGTTTCACGCTAGTAGCGTGGGACTTCGATTTCTTACTTCCAAATTTGGCTCTTTATTGTTCTGTTTATCCTACAAAATCGAAAGAAAATCAGTTGTACAATCTTTGATTGAGAATTTAACAAATCAACAGTAAATATTTCCTTTTTATTCAAGATTAATCAATATTCTTTCCCTTTTTGGCTTAGATTTATATATATGCTGGAGGCATCTCAAACAATTCCCAGATTTGAACGTTGTTGACCTCAACAATGTAATAGATTAAAGTCAGAAGCAAAGATTAACTCTGTGAAGAAAAACATGGAACATGAACATCTTAAAAATTCAGACTGCTATGCATGTATAACTTCCTATTAAAACTTCAAACAATGCTTTTCAGTTGTATCAAGAAATCAGATCCTAACTTGAATATTCCTCACCAGATAAATATACTCTCATCGATCTTAGTGTTTGAGGAGTTCACACTCATTCCATCAGTGTAGCAGTAATTCCATAAGCTTGAACATATTCTCAATTCCTAAGATTGTGGAACCCATTTGACATGTATACACTGATCAAAAGGTATTTTGATAGATTATAACTTGGTCTGATTTGGGGGTAAGAATCTTTTGGTTAGAGGCTGATTAATTTGATAGACTAAAATCCTGAGATTTTTGACATTACTTCCTTCTCAGCTTTTTAATTCTGCCACATCTCATCAATTTGGGATTCTTTTCCCTTTTTCACTACTTTTGTTTTCCTTGTTTGCAGATGTTTTCTTTTTTTTTCTCTTTTGAGCTGCAAATTTCTTCTTTTTCTTTTTCAGAATTTTTTTCTTTGCAGTATTTTTGCAGATCATTCTTCTATTTCCTTTTTCAACTTACTTAACTTTTCTTTTGAGAAGTACCTTGACTTTTCCTTTGATCAGCATTTCAATCTCTTTCAAGGTGTGTCAATGGAGAAATGGTTAAGTAATTTTCATCAGGTTTTTGAATAAATTGGTCTAAGGCTCAAAGTGCTAACAATGGAAAATTCTTTTAGGAAGGTTGTTTGGCTCTAGGTTATCAAGAATAAACATGCCTTTATCATGTCAATAATGCATGCAAACTAGAGAAACAGTTCAAGTTCAAGAAAACTACTACAGTGAGGCCTCTCTGAAAAAAAATATTTCTGTTTAGGCTCAAATCCTCACAGTTGTGATTCAAATTAGAATCTAATTTCAAAATTTCACATCAAGCATTATCTAAGAATTTTCACCAAAACAGTTATACAAACGAGCAGTCATCTTTCTCAGATTATAAAAACAATTGAATGCTCCACAGATATCATGCTTCTTATAATTCAATCTAATTACTTCCTGAGTAAGCTTTGAAAGATCTAGGAACGCTTGTTCAGGAATTCGCTATTTTTGTATTTTTTAAATTTTTCTAAAAGAAAATTGAAAATTTGAATGAAATGCATTAAATTAAAACAGCAAATAATAAAAAAATAAAAGTATTGAAGGTTAAAAATATCTCCCCTTTTACGAAAAATTTTTGTTAGACGTCCTTTCTGTTGTGTAGTTCCGCAGTTAGCAGGTCTCGCATATTGCAGCATGCGGCCAATTCCCAGATTTAGAATGTTGTTGTCCTCAGCAACAAACTAAACTAGTCGAGTGAAGCTACTTCTGCACAGGTGGAACACTCACACACTTGTTAAACATCAAACAGAATAATCATAAAAGTGAAATATATTAAAAGGGAGACATAATCAAACCATAATCTATGAAATTACGAAAGTCAAGGTAAATGGTGAGAATACTGGCGCTGAGAGCGTGGAGTTCACGCTGTGAGCGCGGATCTCACTAGAACTTTTGGACCTATGGTGCTGAGAGCGTGGATCTCACGTTGTTGGCGCAATTCTTTCGTGGGTTTCTGGCACTGTAAGCGCCACCTTGACGTTGTCGGCGCGGATCTCACTGTATCTTTTGGACTTGTGGCGCTACTAGCGCCAAGTTGGCGCTGATAGTGCCAATTCCCATATTTAAAATTTTTCCATACGGTCCCTAATTCACCACTTACTTGACCTGTTAAAAATAAACTAGCTAAGCATATAAAATAAAAATAGAAAAACTACTATTGGGTTGCCTTCGAATTAACGCTTGTTTAACGTCACGAGCCTGACGTACCCCCTGTGATTACGGTGGTTGAAAGCATGCTAGCATTGATGACCCAGTCTTCTTGATCCAGTATTGTGTCTTTCCAGGATCATATGCACGTGGGCGAGGAGGAGGTTTCTCGGAAACTTTAAGCCTAAGTTTCAATTGTTCTTCCTTGCTCTTGGGCTTTTCCATCTTAACCTTTGGCTTGCTTTCCTCATGCCGCTGATGGACTTCCTTCTTGTTCCTTTCCTCAACCTTTTTCTCTGCAATGTAGTTAACTTGATTTTTAGGTTGAGATGCAGGCAATAGAGCTTCATTTGTAAGTACCTTGAATATTGCTTACTCTCCATCCACGCACATTATTAACTCTCCCTTAGGTAC